AGGCGCTCTCGCATTCGGATTGACGGCTTGAATCTTCAGCTCGTTGAACTCGCGCCCGCCAAGCGTCGCGGTGCCCCTGGTCGTCGTTGCCCAACGCCGGCAGCGCAAGCCGCTTGGGCGGCGGGCCCCCCGAGTGCTGGGGCTCGCCGAAATCGCCGACTGGAACGCGCACGCGCCCACTTGGCGCCGACGCCAGGTCGAAGTGGACGGCGCAGGGCCCCAGATGACCTCGCGGCCGCCCGGTCCGGGGAAGGCGAGGCGCCTGTGTTTCACGCCTGTCTCCACCACGCCGGAGCTGGCCTGCATCGATCGCCTGCGCCCTCCACGGCGGGGGCGCGCGCGCGCTGCGCTGCGCGGCCACGCCGGCGCGGGAGGCCACCGCGACGACGCAATGAATCTCCCATTCAGAGACCCGAGACCCGCCGGCAACTCCAGCCGCCACGAGGGATTGACAGTCCAGGCGCCGGCGTCGACTACGACGCCAAGTAACATGGCGAGTCGCCTGGGGACCTCGAGCCTGCAACTGTCGAAGTTGGCCACCACGAGAGGATCAGCCCACGCGGAGGCATGCGCAAAATCACATGGGCGTCACAAGGTGCTGCAATATATTCTGCTGACGCCAACTTGGAGGCACTGCCTGGCAATTGCATGAAATCTGGCCGTGGTGCCCCAGGGGCTGGGGCCACGCGAGAAGACCGCGCGGCGCCCCGTTGCGGCGGCGCCTCCTCTGGCGCGCCCCCGTCTCGCACCGCGCAGGCAAGCGCCATCAGCGTCGGACCCGTCGGATCAAAATCTGCGGCGCGGGCCAGCGCCACGGGCGTCGGACCCGTCGGCGCGGGATCTGCATCGATGAAGCGGAAGGCGGCGACGACGCCAACATGTCCGCGGTACGCCAGGCAGCGCACCAAGTGGGCGCCAGTGTTCTGCATCAGCTACAGGCTGCGCGCGCGACGCAGAGTTCGCGAGCACCGCAGGCGCATCACCCTCTCGCCGTGATCGACAGCCTCGATACCAATGGGACGCCCCCTGTCGTCGCGGGCGAAGACAGCAACGGCGGGGGGCGCAGCGGGCGCAGCGGGCGCAGCGGGTGCTGCAGCCTGCACAGGATGATGATCGATAGGGGCGTCTGTCCAACTCTGCGCGGCACGGCGCCGCTGCTCGCCCTGCTGTCGCAGTAGCTCCAGAGCTAGCTGGGCGATGCGGCGCTAGAGCTGTGCGCGCGCTGCGCTCGGATCGGCCGCCGCCGGACATCCAGGTCTCGCGGTCGGCAAATCACGCGGCCACTCGCAACTCTCTCAGATGCTTGGCTCGCGTCTACTGGTCTGTCTGGGCTGAGAAAGGCCCATCCATGGGGAGACTCCGGCATGGACGGCGACGCGGGCGCCAGTTCTGACTGCGGCGCGCCGATGCTGAGCGAGGCCATAGAAAGCACGCACGCCCAGCTTGGCAAAGGCACGTTGGTCGTCGGAATAAAAGGCACAGCGGATGTCGCGCTGAGGCCCCCCAACCAATCGCGCCTTGGGTTGGTCCCAATGGAAATGCACCGCCGACCCGTGCCCCCTGTTGGCGGCGTCGGTCGCGGTTGCGGTGGCGACGTGGATGTCGCTGGAGCTCCTGGCGCGGCCGGCGGAGCCCCCCCCCCGCGCCCGCGCATGCGGTTCGGGCCTGCGACACAGGCGCTGGGCCCATCGGCTGAACTGAGGCCTGCGAACTGCCCATGAGGTCGGCCCTCTCTTGTCGCGACGGCACAGCCCGGCGTCGCGCGGGCGGGGCGACGACGGCGAAGGCGATGCTGCCACGGCCCGTCGCGACCACTGGCCGCGGCCAACCAGCTGCCGCGAGCCGTCGGACGACAGACTTGGAGCGGCCGCTGCCGCTGCCGACCGCTGCGCCGCCGACGCCGGGGCCCGCTGCCCTCCATTCCGGGGGCCAGCGCCCTCCGCGGGACCGCTCTCGCCAGAACCCGCAGCCATAAACGGCAGAGCTCCGGCGGCGCCCCTGGCCAAGACCGCGCGCGCGCGCAGCCAGGGTTGCTGCCCAGCTGGGCTCGGCAGCCCCCGCCGCCCGAATTGCGCGAGCGGTGCGGGCGCTGAAATTTAAGCGTCGGCGTCGAGAAAGAGATCGCGACCCCGGCAGCGGCGCCAGAGGCTGTTGCGCACGAGGTGCCTCTCTGAATCACGCCCGCGGCATCTGAGACGACCCCGCCCAAGCCCATCGATTTGCCTGGGCGGCCCGAACCCGCGCCACTGGCAATAGACCCCCCCCCCCTCGCCTGCGCCCCACATGAATTTCAGCGACGTCTCTCGGAAGTCGGATCGGACATATTGGCCAAGAAAGCGCGGATGCCCATGCCGCGGCCCGTGCCCTTCCGCCACGTGACCCTCCAGACGCGGCGCGCGGGCCCGTCGCCGCCGAGGTTGCGCCATCGCGCCTCGACGCGCGCAGGAGCCAGAACAGGCACGCGCCGCGATGTTCCACGAGAGCGCCGCGTAGTCCGGGGCGGACATCCCTTCGCCGAAGAAGCTGGCGGCGTCGGCACACGCGCCCCTGCGGCGTCTGCCGCTGGAAATTCCCGCCGCGCCGGTGGCGAGATCGACCCAGCCGAAATGTCTTAGACAGAGTACCCGCGAGGAAGGTCGGACATTGGGTTGAGTGAACTGCCGTGGCGGGGTTGCCAGGCGACCCCTCGATCGCGGTCCAAAAGCGTCGCCGTTGGACCATCGTGCACATGACCTGCGCTGCATTGGCCAGGTAGGGCATGCTGTAGCGCTGCAAGATATCGACCAACTGGCCGTTCGACCGTCCGACCGCGAACAGGAGGAGGTAGCTGTGACTCTCGTAGCCGATCATGAGTTGACCAGCCTGATGTGAGCGGCTGCGTAGGATGCCGAAACGCGCGAGGAGGCTGGCAATGCGCTCCTGCGGCAGTCCGTTGACTGCCGAGACTGCTGAGGCGCGCCCCCGCTGGCTCAAATGGCCCCATCGCTCGGTCACTCTAAGCTGTAAGAAGGTCGTCGGTGGCACTGGGCTGCCGTTGATGCGCCCTCATTGGATCAAGACACAAGGCGGCCATTCGCCCGCGCACTCGCGCGCCATGCCAGTGAGACGCCACGAGACGCAGGCTGCCTGGTGGGACTCGTTGAGATCCGAGTTCGCCACTGGCCAGATCATCACCTCCCGCACCCATCGCTGGAAAGGCGCTCGAGATTGCTGCTCGGGCCCCCAGGGACGGAGCCGCAGCGCGTTGCCGACGCCGCCTGCGTCCACGCAGGATTGGCAGCTCGTCACGGCAAGCATGCCAACTCCGACGGCCTTCCACACGGAATGGAAGTACCTCCAAATATCTAAGAGGTGCTGGAGGCCATGGATCCAACGAGGGCGTTGCTCTGACCATGAGCCTCGGAGCCGACGTGGGCACTTGTCCCAGATGTGTTCCTCCTCGTCAACGGTATTCGGCGTGATCTTCCGTCGCATGGTTGTGCACCCTGGGCACTCGGAGCATCCAACAACATAGCTACGGGAATGTTTTTCGTGAGTCGCATCGCCACTGTACTGAACACCACCAACTCCACGATCGGGGAGAGGAGTGCGCATCGGGATCTCGCCCTGCCAAACTGAAGGGAACAGATGGCCGTGGCGAATTCCAAGAAAGCGAGGACAGATAATCCCACGTGTGTTTCGCTGTCCCTTGAAATGTTGACGACAAAATCGCCAAACCCTCTTCCACGGATTCCACATTATTCTCCGGCTGTTCTTCCCACGGCTCCCACAGCACAGTTGCATAAAAAACTCGGGGCCCTCGGCTGGTGCCGCTGATGAACCCTGTACGGATAGATTGCTCACTATACGCGGCTGAACTCATCTTTGGCGTCATTCCCAAAGGCGGATGAGTGGCCATCGGACCCGCAAGCTGCCCAAACATAGTCTGAATCAGCCAGGGGGAGAGAACGTAGAGAGGCGGCGGGGCGCTGCTGTCTCTGTAGCGATAGATGTCGTAGTCATTCTACGAGTTGAAGTAAGGCGTGATGTGCACGATGTCATCCGCCGACCCTGGAGGCGGAGGGGCGATTTCCCTTAGCGACGTGAAAGAACGCGGTGAACACGGTGATGGTGAACCACGGTGCCGAAAGCGGCGAGCACGATGTACGTGCCAAAGGCGGTGGAGTGGTGGAAGTCGGCAACGTCGACTCGCAGAATGAGAAACAGCCACGCAGGCCATCGCGGATAACGGAGCCGTAGCTCCGCCACCAACTATCAAATGAAACATGGTAGGTTTCATGTTTGCGAAGGCGGATGCACTAAGGCGGAGATGTGCGTAAGACGCGAGAAAGCGGGCGCGCGAGGTGATAACCTCGCGAGCCCAAACGGCAGCGGAGAAGGCAGGCAAGGAAGATGGGCAGAGACTGTAAAGGTACCGTTCGAATCTGGGTACGAGGAGGAGGGAGGCGGAGGAAGAATACCTGGGCCCCCGCAGTTGCGGATGACAGCGATGGGGCGCGGGGCACGAGCGGGTCGCGGGGCGCAGCTCAGGCGGGTCGCGGGTGGGCGGCGGGGCGCAGGCGGTTTGCGGGTGAAGTGCGGGGCGGGGCGCGAGCGGATCGCTCAACGGGGCTCTGGACGCCGCCCAGACCGCGCATCCACACTCGAGCGACGCACCCAGTGACAGTGTGAGACCGGAGGCCCCCGTCGCTTCTGACTCTTGATGGAGAAGGGGATCGAAGTGGAGTCGGGCGTATTCGAGCGCGGCAGCTACAGTAAGCGCTCGGAGAGGCGACGCGACATGACGAGGCACACCCTTTCCCAGCGTACGACCTCAAAAGTCTACGAGTGGAATATGTCCAACGCGCGCGCGCTGTCAACTAACACGGGAAGAGCTACCGTGATAAAACACAGGCACACAGTTGTCTATGTACACTTGCAGGGACAGTGGCAAAGAACGCGCAATCGTTCGAAGATGGAGGCGATCTGATCGGCTTGCGGGGAGGTCACACTGTCCGTGCTCATTCCAGCCACATGCCGTGGCTGTGCCATCGCTCCTCAGAAGCACTGTATAGCACATGCCTGCGGCAACCTGTGAATCCGTCAACCCCTCGCTTGCAGGGGTGACAAGGCGTGTGAAACGTGTGGCTGTTCTCATCCCCTTTTACCCCTCCCCGTGGGGTCCAAAATGCCGTCTGAGAAGGGGGCTGGGGGTCCCTGAGCTCGCCAGCGCTTCTCCCAGGGCTTGTGGAGCCCCCAAGGGGCGCCAGTACGGGCCAGGAGGGCCCAAACAGAGCGCCAAGACAGTCAAAGAGAGCGTCGAGCCGGTCCAGGGTAGCCCCACGACGGCCCGAGATTGCTTAAAGGCAACCCACGATGCCCCTGAGAGGGCCCACGAATGCTCCCAGAGGACCGCCGAAGGGGCCCCAAGAGGCAAAAATCACCCCATGCCCTTACGAGAAGGTGCATGTTTAGCATACTCGCCTTTCTCGTCTTGACAGCGTCCAAGACAGCCCAAGGGGCCCCTAAGATCGTCCCAAGACTGGAGGGCCCCAAGACGGCCCAAAAGGGCCCCAAGACGGCCCCAGGGGATCCCAAGACGGCCCAAAAGAGCCAAGAGGGCGTTAAGGGGCCAAGAAGGGGAACGCTGAGCCTTTCCCCCCAAGATGGACCCGAGAGACCCCCAGAGGCCCCCGAGGCGCCTCGAGAGGCCCTCACGAGGCTCCCAAGAAGCCCCCAGTGAGCACTCACGAAGCCCCGAAAAGCTCTCCAGATGCCCCAAGTAGCACTCCAGAAGGCCCAACCTCGGGGGTCGGTCGGCGGAATGGCGGAAGCCACTTGAATCCGCCCGCCAACCGGGCTGAGGGGCGTGTGACTCTACACTGCTCAGCATGGCCTCCAGACGGCCCAAGACGGCCCCAAGACGGCCCAAGATGGCCCCGAGACGGCCCAAGAGGCTCCCAATACGGTCCCAGAGGGCCCCCAGGGGGCCCCCAAGAGCACCTCCAGAGGCCAAAAACATGCATTTCCCTTTGGCTTGAGATGTTCGCTATCTCGCTTTCTCACAACCCTCCTGCGTTGTGTTCTCGTTTTGGATAGAGCACTGTGCTGTCCAAGTCTACTCCTCCGCCTCCCCCTCCTCCTTTTTCCCCATTTTCCTCCTTGTGCCTCCTTCCTCCCGCACCCAACTTCTCTCTGCGTTTCCCCTGCTTCGTTTCCTCTTCCTCTTTCGCGCCTTTTCTTGCTCGCCACGTTCGCGGGGTCCTGAGAGGTCCAGCGGAGTGGGGGGGCACGCACACCGAGCCGAGACCTCGCGGTTCCCGGGGGCCCGCGAACTGCGCAACTCTCGCCACTTTCGTGGGCTCCTGGGAGATCCAGCGGTGTGGAGGGACACGCACACCCAGCCGAGACCTCGCGGTTCCCTGGGGAATCTGCGAACTGTCGCCGCCTTCGTGGGCTCCCGGGAGGCCCAGCGGAGTGGGAGAACACGCACACCTGGCCGAGACCTCACGGCTCCCTGGGGGTCTGCGAACGGCTCCTGAGAGGTCCAGCGGAGTGGAGTTGTACGCACACCCTAATGAGACCTCGCGTCCCCCCGTTTTTGCACTCTTCAGATCTCACTCCTAAATGCTCCTGCCCACTGTAGGCATTTCAGCAATTACGTTTGTCGAGTCGTGAGCCGTCCTGTGTGAAGTCGCCACATGTTTTCAATGGGCTGGGTACGTCCCTGGGCAATTCCAACTCGCGGGGCCCGTGCAGCCAAGATGGCCCCAAGACGGCCCCAGAGGCCTCCAAGAGGGCCCCAAGACGGCCCACGAGGGCCCTCCGACAGAGGCCCAAGGAGGTCCCCTAGACGGCTCAAGAGGCCCCCAAGACGCACCAAGAAGACGCGAAGAGAGAGAGAGAGAGAGAGAGAGAGAGAAACACTAGGCGGCTCCGAAAGGCCCCGAAGACGGTCTCCGAAGGGGCCGGACGGCGCAAGAGCGCCCCAAGACGGCCCAATAGGCCGTCAAGAAGGCCCAAGAGGCTCCAAAGAGGTCCCTACAATAAGAGGCCCCGAGGGGCCCCAAAGAAGCCTCCAAGAGGCTCCCAAAAAGCCCCCCAACGGCCCCAAGAAACCACCAAGAGGCACAGGGAAGTGTATACGAATGACGCGTTGTTGCTATGCTCATCGGAGTTTGAACTTGGCGTTGCCTTGTGTTGAAAGGCGGAGAATGCTCATGGCCCTCCTGAAAATTCGTACGCTCGTTCCAGCGCTAAAACGGTAGGAGGCGCATCCGCCCCCCATGACGCTGCCAGCGCCCTGGGGCGGGCAGAACGACACTGCAAAACAGCGCGACAGACGGGCAGTGCAAACCAGACGACGCCCAGTCTTTACGTGCTCTGGACGTGCACCCCGCGAATCGACAGAAATCCGCCCGCCAGAGGCCTCTGCAATTACACGGCCCGGCTGCATCCCATCCCCCGTTCGGTCCACAAGAGGGCTTCCAAACGGCGTCCAAGACAAAGCTTTAAGTTCAGACCGTTCCCAACAAGTTTTCGGGCCGAATTCTTAGTCTCCACAATCAACGCCTGGTGCCCTCCAGAGCGCATCTTGGACCCAACTTCGTCAATAACCTGGTACCTTCAAAAACGTAGCAAAACCATGCGGTGTTTGATGATTTGGGCCCCTCCGAGGAGTCTTCCAAACGCCTCTCCTAGCTCACTTTCGGGCAAATCTGGAGCTTCTCGCAGCATGCAACTTTCGCCATCATTTTGGACGAGCTCTGGGACCAATGTTCGCAGAAAATGGGCCCAACTTCGCCCGCAAAAAAACGAGGCCCAAACAGGCCCCAAAATACCGGCTCGTCTCCTCTGCAAGATAGGACATGGGAGTGCTCGCACTTGGACCGTCCAGAATCCCTCTGGGCCGCCTCGGGCCCATCTTCGCCTCGTTCTGGACCATATTTGGCCTCTTCTGGATCTTCTTCAAGCCATTTTGGATCCATTTTGGGCGGTTACACAAGCCGTCGGGGGTACTTCGCCCAGCCGCTAAATATTGTTTTCGGCCATCCTCGACACACCCCGCGAGAACTTGGAAAGGGCGGGCGGTGAACGCGAAGCGTCTTGAATAAGCTACCCCTGCTTCCAAACCTGGAAGGTTGCACTCTCCGTTGCAACTGGTGCCGCAAGCCTCCGCCAGCCCATCGCTCTTCAGCAGGACAGTGTGGCACATTCCTGCAGCAACCTGCGTGTAGGTCACGCGCGCGCTCAAAGCTGGAGGAGTGCACTGGCCGCCTATGTTCCAGCCAGAACCAACAGCCGTGCCATCGCTCCTGAGCATGACAGTGTGGTAGCTTCCTGCTGCAACCTGCCTGTAGGTAACGCCTGCATCCAAGGCCGGGATATCGCACTGTCCACTGTTGTTGTCACCACAAGCGGTGGCAGTGCCATCGCTCCTTAGCAGGACTGTGTGGCTTGCTCCAGCAGCAATCTGGACATAGACCACGCCCGCGTCCAAAGGCGGAAGGTCGCACTGCCCACAACTGTTACTGCCGCAGGCCACCGCTGTGCCGTCGCCACTGAGCAGCACCGTGTGACCGAATCCTGCCGAAACCTGCGTGTAACACTGGCCCGCGTTCAGGGGCGGAATGTCGCACTGCCCAACGGCGTTCGTGCCACAGGCCACGACCACGCCGTCGCTCCTGATTGACGCGAGGGGGGAGGTTCGCACGAGCGACGAACCTATCCACATCCGTGCCCTCGCGGTCTGTAGACACCGAAGCGCGATCCCGTAGACACGCGATCCCACGGACACGTTCCGCGCAGGATATCCGCACAACCCTCTCCTTTTATACATGGGGCCGCGGCCGAGGAGTGCATACCGCGAGACCGTGGATCTGGGTATGTTTCCCGCCCGCGAGGCTCATCAGAGAAGCGGGTCCTGGGCTCTCGACCCCCAGATCTTTCCTGGGGATCGGCTCTTCGTCCCGAGCCGCTTTCTGGCAGCCCCGGGGCCCACGAAGGGCCCAGGGCGCCAAAAACAGCGAAGATGCCCAGGGCCACGCCCCCTCAGGCCTCAGGACCCCCTCTCTTCGCGGCGAGCTCCTGAGCAGGACCGTGTGGGCACGCCCAGCAGCGGCCTGCGAGTAGGCCAAACCCGAGTCCAGGGAAGGGAGGTCACACTGCCCATCGGCGTTGCCACCGCAAGCCGCGGCCGCACCGTCGCTCCTCAGCAGAATCGTGTGGCGGCATCCGGCGGCGACCATCCCTGGCGCAAGCCCAGAGCCCGCAGGGCGGCGGGGGGCCGTCGGAAAGCCTGAGCCGAATGACGGGTTTCTGAAGGATTCTGCCAAAAAAATATGGGGGGTTCTACGGGTATCTGTATGTTTCCAAGGAGGGGTAAGAGGGGGGCGCACGGACAGTGGGAGGAGGAAAAAAGGGGGAAGAGGTGAAAGAGAGGAAAGGGGAGAAGGGGAGGCCAAGGAGGGGGCGCAGAGAGAAGGAAAAGGCAGTTTGGGTGCGTTCGCGCCAGATCTGACATCCTCCCACCTCCCGTACATCCTTCCCACTGCGTTGTCTTCTCTCTGTCTGTCCGCCGACGCGTGTCATAATGGACACGAAACTCCAAAGAGAACCCTTCATGTGATGCGCAATCCGCCGACCCTGTGTGGGCCTCCAGGCGCGTGAGATTTCCCCCCCCCCCCCCCCGTGATCCCCCCCCAGGGAGCCGAGAGGGCCCTGGCTCTCCCCAAAACACCCAGGATGGCCTCCAGACGGCCCAAGATGCCTCCCAAGACGCCCCCAAGAAGCAGAAATCTTCCTATCCCCTCGGGAAAGGGGAGAGAGAGAGAGAGAGAGAGAGAGAGACAGAGACAGAGAACAATAAAAACAAAAAAGGAGAAAGGGAAAGAAAAAAAACAACAACAACAAAAAAAACAAAAAACAACAACAAAAAAAAAACAAACAAAAAAAAAAAAAAAAAAAAAAAAAAAAAAAAAAAAAAAAAAAAAAAAAAAAAAAAAAAAAAAAAAAAAAAAAAAAAAAACGCATATGCTTAGCATATTCACCACTTGGGCCTGGGGATCACAAGGCCTGGGCATCACAAGGCCCCCTAAGAGGGTTCCACACTTCCAAACATTTATGACGGCACGCAGTTTTCGGGGAGCCCCCGGGCCTTCTGCCAAACAGAGTCCACGCACACGTTCTAGCGCGCACAGCGCCCGCGAGCTTTCGCGCCCAGACTGACCCGCACCACCATGTCTCTCCGCGCAATGGCTTGGTGGACGAACTCGGCCACGCCTGCCGCGTCGTCGTCGTCGCCCCCGGACTTCAGGATCACGGACACGATGCTCGCCAGCCCGCCCCCCGTCCTCGGCACAGCCGGCGCCCTGTCGTCGGCTGCCGCGTCGTCCGCGGAGCTCAATTGAGCCAGCATGTCCGCCCAGGGCATCAGGAACGACGTCGCGTTGCCTCGAGCCGCCACGCGGACCGCGCCATCCCCGGCCCCCATGTCAAACGCGCGCTCGCTCCGAAACCGCATCTCCAAGGCGAAGTACGCCGTTGATGCCACGCACGCGAAGATCATGTCCAGAATTGCCGCATGCCCTGCGGACAGCCCCTCGGGGGAGAGAAGGCCACCATGTCACTGGCGAGGGCCGCGGCGGGCAGGGGCGCCCCTCTGCGCGGGCCCGTCGCGCCGCTGCAACACCCCCCGCGCGGCGGAGCCTCACAGCGATCGCGCGCAACGCCCCCGGCGCGCCAGGCGCGGGCGCAGCACCGCAGATCCCCACGGCGACACAGCACCCTCACTGAGCCGTCTGCCGCGGGCGCTGTCGCGCGCCAGCCGTCGAATACCGCTGCCCGATCGCGGGGTTGCACGCCGCCCCCGTCGCTGCCCCCCACGCTGTCCTGCACGCGTCGTTCCACGCAGCTGCCCGCCAACATGTTTTCCTTCGCGAGCGCGCAAGCGAGCCTGGATAAGCCGCCCAGTCTCGGCGACGCAAGCCCCCGCCGCATGGGATTTCCTTTCTAACCCTCAACGCGCATGAACTTCCAAGCGCACACCGCGCAAACCAAGGAACACGCGCCTCCGCCTGACAGGCCCTGAACGCACGACCGAAGACACCGCCCGTCGATCGCCCGCGCCGCGTCCGGCGCCCCTGATCGCACTCTCAACGCAATCGCCTCGTCGCACGTAGACAAGCACTGGGCCTGTTTCCGTTGGCCGACGCCCGCGCCCACGCAAACGACTTCCGAAGCAACGCCCGCTAAGATCCGCTCGTCGGTCTGCAGCAAGTGGGCGCAGAGCTCCGACTCTGCGCCCCCGCGCCAACGGCGCCCACGGAGAGCGCAACGCTTCGCGGGCAAGGCGACGGCGCCGCGCGACTGCACGCCCCCGCTCGCCAAGCACACGCCCTGCGCGACGCTCGAGGGCACCGCGGGTTATCGTCTTTTACGCGGCCGGCAACCTGCATGACCCCCCCGCCCACGCCGCGCGCGGATCTACCGCCGCGCCCCCGTAAACGGCGCGGACGCGGTAAACGAGGCCCGCCCCAGCTCCGTCTTCTCGAGGCCTTCGCCCCCCTGCCCCCGCCCCCCTTCCGTCTGTAGCGCTTCCGCGCGCTATCTATCTGCACCGCGCTGCGGAGCCCTCGCGCGCACCCTCGCTGCGGGGGAAGGCCGTCTCGGCGGTCCACGCCACTCGTTGCGCCCCTGCATCCCGGCTGGCGGGGCTCTTTCTACGCCAGCCTGGAGGGCGCGACGCCGAATGCGCTGGCGGCGGGGGAGGCGCCGAATTGCCCGCAAGCATCCTCCGCCCGCGATCCGACGCCGCAGCGCCACCCCCGGCGCTGCTCTCCTCGACCCCGTGCGCAATGACGCAGGGCGCGCGCATGCCTCTCGCGCGCGCGTCGCCGACGACGACCCTCGAGCTTCCGCCCCCCCACCCCCGCCGCGCCACTCGCGCTCGCGCCGCGCGGGCTGATCGGCCCCATGGGGCCTGCGACGCCGGTCGAAGTCCCCCCCTTCGCAGCGGCGCCAGGCCGGGCGGCGCGAGGCGCTCGTGATCTCCGCAACAGTCGCATTGTACAATTCCAGGAGCTCTACCGACCTTTCGTCAAGCACATCCTCTTCCAGCGGCATCTCACCCAGCACGCGGGCCTCGCCTTCGAGTTCGGGGCGGGTAGAATGCATGTCCGCGCCACGCTCTTCGCCGACAAGACCGTCGAATCGCGGGCGCACGCGCGCGACGACATCCATTGAAAGCGCCGCCTTCGCCACGCCACGCCTACGCACAGCTAACCCCACAATCTCCCCAGCGCGCACCGCGCGCCACATTTGCCCGTCATGCGTGCCCAGATTCAGCCAGGAGTCCTCGGCATCGCGCAATGCCCACGCAGGCCTCGCACGCGGCACGTCGCCCGCCCTCGTGGCCCAGCGCCTCTCCGCACAGGCCCGCCCGCGCGAGCACTTGGAACTGGCTGCCGCGCCATGCCCCCGCCCCTGGTCTACTACGACCCCCCTTTGGGCCAGCTCCGAAATGCGCAGCTCGCCCGTCTTCGATTCGAATACATAACGCCCAAGAAAACTGCATGAACTTCACGGCACGCACGCCACCAGGCGGCGTCGATCCACCTCCCGTGACGCCTGGCGAAGATCACCCCCTGCGCGCCCCAACCCTGCCACGCGCGCGCGCCCACGTCTCGCTTAGCACCCGCGTCACTTACCCCAGATCGGCCCACACCTTCCACAGCTCTGCGAGCAGCTCTGGCGGCGCAACACGCGCTTCCTCCCACTCCCACACCCCTGCCGCTTGGCGATGGCCCACCGCACAGCGAGTGCACGGAAGTCGGCTTCGCGCAGCGCGCGGACAGGTGCAAGGAGGTCGCTCGGAAGAACGTGAACGGAGGGCGCCTGGCCTTTCTTCCCAATGACGCCCTCTATGGTGGAACCCGCCGACGACCTCGCGCCGCGCCCCCTCACGCATGAACCCGCTTCGGCCCCGTCCGCTGACCTCGAGCCGATGTCCGCAGGCGCCGGCAGACCCTCCCACGACACGCACTCCAGTCGCCTGTAATGGCCTCGAACAAACGCTGCCCGCGACGCCACCGATGGCGATGAGCGCGATCGCCTGGGAAGTTCCCGCTGGCAACGCCCACTTGTCCACGCTGAAGACTGCGCGGCGGCATCCATCCTGCGCGCCCACACGCCAGGCGATCCCCCCTTTGCAGCCTGCGCACCCACATAAGAGCATCAATTCCAAAACGCTCAGCTGATACCCTTCCGTCGCCGCGGTGCCCACGTATGCCGGATTCTCAAACGGCTCGCGCAGCAGCACGCCCACGCCAGCGCCTTCCGGCGCGAACCGCCGATCCCCCTCGACCACTTCGCCCAACCGAAACGCTTGGGCGACATCAGCCTCTCTCTCCCAAGTCTGGTATCGCCCCTTCCACGACTTCCAGGAAACGGCCAAAGAAGCCCCCCTTCGTTGATCGATCTCGTCCAGGATGGCGCCACAATGGCCCCAAGATGGCAGCCTCCGAGAACACACACGAAGCTACAAAAAGGCCCATCCCAGAGGTCCACATGCCTCCAGGTGCTTCACACCTGCCTCGTCGCCGCGCCCAGCCACAGCGACGAGGACAGCCCCCAAAAGACAACGTCTGCACCATCAATGTGACACTAGAAACTCGCGTCCCCGAAAGTGTCGCCCCAGCAAAGCCAACCTTGGAACGCTTCTTTGGGGTCGGCGACAGAGGCGGAAGCCTTTCGGATGAAGGGGGCAACAACGATGAAACGGACTCGCATCCAGAAAAGTGGGCAGCGCTGGGGCGAAAGCGCCATTGTGAACGACAGGAGCAAAATGCCGATCCGACAATGAGGCCCACGCTACAGCGGGAACGCTATTTGGAAGCACCAAAAAAAAAACGGATTGCAAAACCATGCGAAAAATACAATGCTGGACATCATGTGTAAAGCAAGCAGTACGCGCAAAGGGTCGAACATCTTCCAGACAGAGTCAGAGGAGAGGGGAGAGTAGCACTCAGGATGTGATGCTAGAGTAGGGACGGGCCCCACCCTCGTCTTCCTCCACGCTCCTCCTCATCATCCTTCCTCCCTCCTCCCTCCCTCCTCCCTCGCTCCTCCTCCTCTCCATTCCCCTGTCGTCATCGACCTCCTTCTCCTCCTCCTCCTCCTCCTCCTCCTCCTCCTCCTCCTCCTTCACCCTCCCCGGCCCCCGCCCCCCGACGGCGATCACGACGACGAGGACGATGCAGCGGGCAATTATAATTCGACTCCCGCCTGGACGTGTCCTGGGATGCGTTCTGGCCAGCTTGTCGAGGCAGATCCAGCCGTGGCGACGAGAGGCCCTCCTGAAGACCCGAAGAAGGCATAAAACGCACAAAGACATCAGACCTCTCGAATCTTGATCGACGACGACGACGACGACGACGACGACGACGACAACGACGACGACGACGACCACGACCGACCCGCCCTGGCTCCTGGAGCGTGAGCGAGGGCCGGGACCTCCGCACGTCCGCGAAGCACGCCAGGGGGTAGGCCACGGAGGTCACCACCAGCTTCCTGGCTCCCCCCCCCCTCCGCTTCCTGCCCCTCCACCACCACCACCACCACCTTCCCTCCCTCCTCCTCCTCCTCCTCGTCCTCCTCCTTCCTCCACCTCCTCCTCCTCTTCCTCCTCCTCGACATCAGATCTGGCATTCTAAATAACATCTCGTCGTCGCACCCCTAGATGTGTGAGAAGGACGGGCTTGGCGTCCCGCCTGATACTTCCTCACCACCGATGACCCTGAAACTTGAAAGTTGCAATAGGTACAAAGATGGATGGGGGGTCGTTTCCAAAGAGGAGATATCGCCTCAGCGCCGCTCACATTGGTCTTGAAATCTTGCAACGGATACAAGGATGGAGGTGGTCGTTTGCAAAATGGAGCTATCGCCTTAGCACCGCGCACATTCGTTTCAAGTTCACGGCAGTCGCAAAGATGGATGAGGTGGTTTTCAAAATGAGGCCGTCGCCGCAACGCCGAGCGCAGTCGTTTAAAAAAAGATTGAGAGGGGTCGTTTGCAAAAATGGAGCTGGCTCCTGAGCACCACGCACGTCCGTCTTACAAAAAGCAACAGTTACAAGGATGTCAGCGGATTCCTTACCCAAGGGATTGTTTTTCTCTAGCCTTCCCTACATTAGCAGCAGAAACTTGAGCATATATAACAGTTGCCCGTATGCAGGACGATTCCTCTTCAATGGGGCTCGCGCTCGAGACTGCCTCGAAGTTGAGGTAATTGAGCGGTCCTTTTCCAAAAAGGAAATTGTCATCGAAAACCTTGTTAATTGTATGATCATGCATCATGCCCTTTTCGCATCCCGTATGAAGTCATTAAGCAGATGGCAGAAATATGCGCTGTAACTCCTGTTTGAAAACGGGACTCTCCAGCCGTCTAGGGCGAGTCAGGCACCGCTTAACGCGTTTCGTCAGGGCGCAGCTTCTGGAAAGCAACCTGAAGCCCGAAAGCCTGCATGAAGGCATCCAGCAACCAACACAAAGCCTTCGATCCTCGACCCCGGCTCTCCTGCCCAGCCCCTGTCCGTTCAAAATCGGTACCGACCCCTCCCGGGGTTCATCATGGACCGTTCTCCGAGGCGGATCCAGCCGCGGAGACGAGAAACTCGCCAGGGAGAGCCCAGGTCGTCTCCGACTAGCCCGAGGGACGCCGGCGACGGGCGACGACGGCAGTCCTGCGGAGCACGACTGCGTGCTCCAGCTGCGCCAGCAGCGGCAGCGCCGCGGAAGCTGCCGCCCACAGCGCCGCCAGCGCCACGAGCGCGCAGGCGCCCAAGAGGAGCGCGCGCCTCGCGCGGGCACCGTCGCCGCCGCCGGCGGCCGCCCAGGTCGACATCGGCGGCGACGGCGGCGGTCGGCACAAGCGGCGTCGCGGCGTCGTCGGTTGGGGTCGCCCGCGCAGTCGCCGTCGACGTCGTCGTCGGGGGATGGGGGGGCGAGCAGAAAAGCAAGGGGGAGAAACTGAAACGGGGAGGGACGGAGCGAGGGAGGGACGGGGAGAATCCCGATCCGAAACCAGCTCATCGAGTTCTGATCATCTCAGCAGAAGATGGGGGGAACAAAGGAGGGAGGAAAGAAGAAGTTTGAAAATATACGCAGCACTGCGTGCAGAGGCAAGAGAAAAGGGGGGAGGAGGGAAAAAGCAATCTAGCAGCTGGAAGATCCAAGTCCGAGCTGCGAAGTGCTTCCGCTGCAGTCACCACTCGCTCGCGCTCCCAAGCAGCCGATCAGGCCGTCTTCAGCGGGCATGCATGGCTAGGAAACGTGCCATCCCAAAATTCTGGCCAAACTTGATCGGCACTTCTTGGGAGGGGCCGAGCAACATACGGCAAGCTGGCGGCCATCAACAGTGGCTCTGCGTCCACAGTGGTGGCAAACCAACATGCAACGACGGCCCCAGAACCCGAGACGATGGGAGTCCTGAGGCACAAGACCACACACCTCCACGGGCCCAGGGGCCGCCCCCGTCGTCGCAGTCGACGTCGCAGCCACTGTCGCCGTCGATGCCGTCGCAGCCGCCTCCGTGGTCGTCGCCGCCGTCGCCGCCTCTGCAGACGCCGCCGCCGCCTCGCCGTCCTGCGTCGGAGGAGGGCCAGTTGAGACAACAGCGGCTCTCCCGCCTGGCCCAAGTCCGCTCAGAATTGGCCCCTGGACCCCTTTCGGGGTCCATCCTGATCTGTGCTTCGAGGCGGAGCCAGCCGTGGCGACGATAAGCCTCCAGGAGGCCCGTCTCCGATTCCGTCGCTACCGTCGCCGTCGCCACTGGCAAGATCAGTAGGCATCGAATCGGGAAGTCGGATCGAATCGGAACGTGTGTCGAAGCAGGCCGCATCGGCACGGAGTTGGAATCGAGTCGGCTCGGCCGTGCCAGGCTGCATAACAGCCCCCTGCAAGCATGACGCCGCATCGGACCGTCAGACTAGCGGAATCGAATCGAACTGGGCCAGCCAAAATCGGCATCGAACCGGATCGAGTTGGTCGGTCGCCAAATCTGAATCGAATCGGCTCGTATCAAAATGGACCCTGGCCGCTGGTGCCGCCGCACGTCCCGAGGCGCCTCGACCACAGCCCCGGCAGCAGCCCCGCCGCGGCCTGCCGCAGCCGCGCCGCGGCGCCGCAGCAGGCGCTCGGCGACCGCCACGCCGCCAGCGCGCAGGCCGCCGCCGCGCACACGGCCAGCGCCAGCTCCACGGGGAGATGCCTCAACGCCAGGCGACGGCGGCGACGGCGGTCGCCGGCACGAAGACGACGGCGGCGACGGCGACGACGACACCGGCGGCGGCGGCGGCGGTGGCGAAGACTACTGCGCCGAACAATACGAAGGCGATGACAACGGCGACGATGAGGACGACGACGACGAGGAAGTGACGGACGCATTCAGTCGTGCAACACGCACACGTCAGCTCAAGGCCTTCAGGGCGCGAAAGGGACGCCCCGCAAGCTAGCATCAGCACAGTCGCTGGCATCAGCATCCTGGCGCCTTCTGGATGGGGCCACAGAAGATAGGATCGGGTAATCGCGCCGCTTCGCCGATGCATCAGAGATGCATCCGCCAAGCTGGGATGATGGTGCGGATCAAGCGATACCGACACCACTACTCCAGGAACCTCTCACGGGGTACGTTCTGACAAAGATTCCGATCGAATCCAGCCCCTACCGGGATACGTTCTGACCAATATTTCGAATGGAATCCAGCCGTGGCAACCAGGGTCGGGTATCGATATGGGTATGTTTTCAAACTCTGACCATCACCGATGCATCCGACGCGGCGCGCTTCTCCACCCCCACGTGCTCCAGCGCCATTTGAGCGGCCTGGAGCATCCACATTTGTAAGATCCATCCAGCCCTACATGCGTGAGGCCATGGGCGCAGCAAGCTCGTCCTCCTCCTTTTCCTCCTCCTCCTCCTCCTCCTCCTCCTTCTCCCCCATCCCTTTCCTTTGTGAATAGCTTCTCCTGTCGCACCCCCGGACGTGTCGGTAGGATGGGCTGGGCGTTTCGCCTGAGATTTCTTCATCATGATCCTGAAGCTTGAAATTTGCAGCGATTTCACGGATGGAGGGCGGGTGGCTTTCAAAATGTGGTTATCGTCTATGCGCTGCGCACAGTCGTCGTGAAAGATCGCAACAGCTTCGAGGATGGAGGGCGGGTCCTGTTCAAAATGTGGCTCTCGCCTCAGCGCCGCGCGCATTCAAGTCGAAAGCTTGGACTAGCTTCACGGATTGAGGGCGGGTCGTTTTCAAAAGCTGACTCCCGCCTCAGCGCCGCGCAAATTCGTTTCAAAATGCTGCAACAGGTTCAAGAATGTGCGGGGTAGTTGTCTGGCACGATATAGGACTATCAGGACTCAACGGTCGCATCACTTCAAGGTGCTGAAATCCCAGGAATCGTGTTCTGGCACGGATTAGGATTGCCAGGACGCGACAGTCCCGTTGATTCGCAGGCTTGAAATTCCAGGGATGGTGTTCTAGCGCGATTGAGGATTCTAAAACGGTTATTTTTCAGTGGGGCACTTCCAGGAATAATAACTCCTTGTAGGGGCCTCTGAAGGGGGAACTTGGAGGGAGAGTATCTTGTGACATCGCAAAAACGTTACACCAGTCCTCCTCCTCCTCCTCCTCCTCCTCCTCCTCCTCCCCCATCCGTTTTCTTTGTGAATAGCTCCTCCTGTCGCACCCCCGTGTCGGTAGGATGGGCTGAGCATTTCACCTGAGATTTCTTCACCATGATCATGAAGCGTGAAAGTTGCAACGATTTCACGGATGGAGGGCGGGTGGCTTTCAAAATGTGGTGATCGTCTATGCGCTGCGCACATTCGTCGTGAAAGTTCGCAACAGTTTCGAGGATGGAGGGCGGGTCCTGTTCAAAATGTGGCTCTCGCCTCCGCGCTGCGCGCATTCAAATCAAAAGCTTGGAATCGGAGGTTGGGGGGTGAGATCGCACTGGAACGGACACCCCAACCGGGAAATCGTCTCGTTCCGTTCGTGTCGTGCGTGCGGGCGAGGCGAAGATGCGTGGGCGCGCGACAGGAATGAACACGCCGTGCCTAGGGCGATGTCAAGACAAATGTTGCTCCCCAATCCGTCCGTCCGTCCGTCCGGCGGTGGCCCTAGCGGTGTGCCGCGGTGTCCCGTGGTGTCCTGTGGTGTCCCGTGGTGTCCGCCGCTGCTAGGGCGAAGTCAAGACAAATGTTGATCCCCCCTCTGTCCGTCCGCCCGCCCGTCCGTCCCGCGGTGGCCCTAGCGGAATCCCGCGGTGTCCCGTGGTGTGGCGTGGTGTCCCGTGGTGTCCGCCGTTGCTAGGGCGAAGTCAAGACACATGATCCTCCCCCGCCCGCCCGTCCGTCCGTCTGGCGGTGGCTCGCGGTGTCCCGCGGTGTCCCGTGGTGTCCCGTTGAATGCGATCGATAGTGGGATCGATAGTGAGATCGATATTGAGATCGATGTGGTGCCCCGAAGTGTCCCGTGGAGTCCCGTGGTGTCCCAAAAAGTGAGATCGATAATGAGATCGACAGGTGTCCCGTGGTGCCCCGTGGTGTCCCGCAGAGTGAGATCGATAGTGAGATCGATAGTGAGATCGATAGTGAGATCGATGTGGTGTCCCGAGGTGTCCCGTGGTGTCCCGTGGTGCCCCGTGGTGTCCCGCAGAGTGAGATCGATAGTGAGATCGATAGTGAGATCGATAGTGAGATCGATGTGGTGTCCCGAGGTGTCCCGTGGTGTCCCGTGGTGTCCAATGGTGTCCTATGATGTCCCATGGTGTCCCGTTGAATGAGATCGATAGTGAGATCGCTAGTGAGACCGATAGTGAGATCGAGAGGTGTCCCGCGGTGTCCCGTGGTGTCCCGTGGTGGCCAATGGTGTCCCGTGGTGTTCCGTTGAGTAAGATCGATAGTGAGATCGATAGTGAGATCGACAAGTGTCCCGTGGTGTCCCGTAGTGTCCCGTGGTGTCCCGTT